GGCAGAATTGGAAAACCAGAAAATGAATAATATGGTATTTCTAGAAGACTAAAAGGCAGATTATTGAAGGACCAGTTAGTTAATATGTGAAATAGCTAAGCTATTCCACTTTGGAGCATCTAATTCTGGATTTTGATAACCAGAACTAAGTAAGCGCTATTTGAAGTGGAAATTATGACATAGGCAACTTTGGGATTGGAGAATAAGGTCATTATCCAAAATGACTACAAGAAGGAACTGAAGTTCCCATCCACACTCTTTTGCTATAGTAACCTGCCACTTCCCTTTATAATTGCCATAGGTCCCTAAAATTAGAGTTTGTATTCATTGAAAGTTAACCAGTATTCTCATTTGGCTGAGGAAAAGTACTTCATGGTTTAATCTGTGGCCCTCATCTATAAATAGGAATAGCCAAGAATCATCAAATCTGAAGCAAACTGGTTACAAAAAGGGAGAGAATCCTAGGAGAACAGAATTGACATATATTTGTTGAATTAATGACACAACACAAATATCAAGTTGGTATTAGACTTTACATCAGTAACTATATAACTAAGCAAACTGAACAATGGATTTTCAATTCAAGGAAACTGATGAACAGAGATAAGAAAAACCCCTTGTCTTGGTGACCTGCTAATCCCCTTTAACAGAAAAAGGTTATAAAAGGTTAAATACTTGCGCATATGTGAAAAAGTCTAACTAAAATGTAACATGGATGGAGACAGGGCAGGATATAGGAAGTGAAAACATGTGCAGGAGGTTGTAATATTCAAGGGCAGGATAGAGATAATGTTTTATTCTTGGTATTGATAGAAAAATAAAGTTAAGAGTATACTAGCAAAGTTAGGTGATGCTTTAGTAACAGCCTCCAAATCTTGATTTCCAGCATAGTTTTATTTGTGTTCATGCTACTTGACAAATTGTCTAGCGTTCCTACTGGATATCACCCTCAATTTTGAGAGCCAGCCTGGTAGAACATTATGTGGAACATTCCTTGTTGTGCCCAAGGAAAGAGTATGGACGGAACATACAATATGACTTCAAAGCTTTTACCTAGATGTAGTGAACGTCACCACTACTCACGTTTCACTGGCCAAAGAAAGTCACATAGCCATGCCTGAGTTAACAGAATAATGAAGTTCAGACTTGCCACATGGCAAGAGAAGGAGAGAGAACCAAATACATGTCGACAACTTTAATAGCTACTAAACGACCAGGAAATGGAATTGAATTTTAAAATCTGACAAAAGATAGAAAGAAGAAAAAAAAAATCCAAAACCATGAGTAAAAAGACCACGTTCTTTTCTCACAGTAAATGTGAATAAGTTAAATTCTGGAATCCCTAAGGTTAATGAAAAATACAAAATCTAATTATATATTATTTGCAAAAGATAAATTTAAAAGTAATGTCATTGATTATGAAGAGACAGACAAAAATATAGCAGGCAGATGCTAACAAAAGTAGATGTGTTATAAGAAAAATAGTAGAATGAAATAGACATTATTACTTTATGTATA